AGGCCCAAATAAATTCAGATCATTACGTTGAACCCAGTGAAACCACCATTTGTGGGTAAAAAAATGGACAATTTCATTTGGTTCAACCTAACACGTTCCCAGAGGGTGAGAGGATTCCTTCTGTTTCCACTGGCCCAGACTAAGAATTACAGTTACTCTTCTCTTGAGTGTTTACTATGTGTCATGTACTGGGATGACTCCTCCATGTATAAATGAAGAAGATACTGACGTTCTGAGAGGTTAAGTAACCCACCCCAAATTGCACAACTAGAAAGTGACACAGCCAGGATTTGCATCTAGGTCTGGCTGTCTCCAAAGCCCGTGCCTTCACAACTATGACGAAAGGCTTGGTCTGGTGCCAAAAGGAGGTCATCACAAGGAATCTGATTGTCTCAGCTCAACAATGTCAATGGCCATCATCCTAGAATCATGGGACTTTGGGACTGAGAGAGCCCAGGCAGTTATGGCTTCATTCAAGGCACACACTTGGCTTCTGTCCTGAGTCAAGCCCTGGGCTATGAGGGACTCAGGCCCAGTGGGGAGAGAAGACAAGTCAACAGTTGACTAGACCAATGTATGGGCATTGCAATGGCGTCTGTCCACTGAGAGCCTCAGAATCAAAACTGGGTGCCCTGGTTGGGTGACAGGCAGGAAGAACAATCTAGAACACTCCCTAAACAACTGCCCCCCACCCCTAAGCCTGGCCTCATCTCATCCCCCCGGGTTTTGGGACATGGAGTAGAAAAGAACTAGATGAGAATGCAGAAGGACGGAGCTCTCAGACCCTGGGGACAGCCACCTATTAGAGGTGTCATAGGGGGAAAGGGATTCTTTTTTTTTTTTTAATGTTTTATTTATTTCTGAGAGAGAGAGAGAGAGAAAGACGAAGACAGCATGAGCAGGGGAGGGTCAGAGAGAGGGAGATACAGAATCTAAAGCAGGCTGTCAGCACAGAGCCAGATGCGGGGCTTGAACCCACGAACCGTGAGATCATGACCTGAGCTGAAGTTGGACACTTAACCAACTGAGCCATCCAGGTGCCCCTGGGGGGAAGGGATTCTTGCAGCAGGTAAAGGAGGGGGGGCTATAGAAGTGGGTTCCAAGCTTTGTACAGACAAGGAGCCCCTTTTCCTGCAAAACCCGTAGTGATTCCTAACAGTCAAGTTCTGGGAGTACCCTTGGCCGCCCCTGTCCCCATACCCTGCTGGGCTCATCTGCAGAGAGCAGTCCTCCCAGCCTCAATTCGAGCTCCTATGTGGACTTCGCTGCCAGCTTCTCACGCTTTATACACAAGTCCAGGAGACAGGGGAAACGGCGCAAGAGAAGCAGGGTCCCCTCCCTCTCCCCTGGAAGTTTTCCTGCCTCCGCCATATTACACTGTCCTCTCCCTCCAGAGAAACACGGGATACTGAACAAGAATATAATGCAATAGAAAACAGAATATAATTCCTCACAACAGCTAGCAGCCTAGATGTACTTTCTACGAGGCTGCATTGTACTGCTGTTTCCATTCCATAGTGGAGGAAGTAAGGCCTCGGGAGGTCAAGTAACTCATTCACTCCGGCTGATGATAAACTCTGACAGCAAAGTCTGAGGTCTTAAAACTGTCCGTGTTTCCACCAGCAGAGATGATGTTTGGGGCATATTTCTTCCCCAGACCCTTTTCCGAAGTGCTCAAGAAATGAAGATCACACTGTGCATACAGTTTGTCTTTTTCACTCGCATTGTTTGGTGAGCATTTCCCCATCTCATTAAAACTTCTTGAACAAACCATTTTTAAAGGACCCTTCAGAGTCCCCTGAAGGCCACAGATCATTTATCTACTCATATCTCCAATGACAAACATCTAGGCTATTTTCAACATTGCTTGAATTACCACACTGCTGAATATGCAAATACAGAAATCATCCCGGAAACCGGCTTTAAATCCCAGGGGGCGCATCCTGGGCTAGTCCATTTAGAGTAGGTTTTTCAACGTGCCATCATTCCAGACCACCTGAGTCATGTCATTTGCGTCACTTATCATGGAAAGTAATGGTGATAATGATGATGGTATAGAGAACACTAACAGGTAACTATCCAGCAATTTCACATGCCAGGTACTGCTCTAAGCTCTTTATGTGGAACAGCCCACACTAGGTACTATTCTTACTCTCATTTTACAGATGAAAAAACTGAGGCACAGAGAAGTTTATGACACTTACTCCAGGTCACCAAGCTGGGAACCAGGTCAAACCCCCCAAAGTTGGAAACTTCTACCCAGAAGTCTTTCATCTTTTTTTGTGCCATGGACCCCTCTGGCAACCTCACGAAACGTATGGACCACTACTCAGAAAGATTTAACATGAATAAAATAAGGCACATAGGATTTCAAATGAAACTGATTACACTGAATTATAGTACAAGTGTTTCAAAAACCAAAATGGTGAACATAGGCACCTCTTTCTTAACGAATTCTAGCAGTAGGATGAGTAACACAATTCTCAATTAGTAGGTGATCTACTTACTGCCAGCAGACAATAAAGAAATGATCTTTGCGATCCATGCAATAATTATAAAGCGATATGACACTACCATGGGCGACAAAGTCCCAAGTGTTACTAATATCACTGAGGGGTGCTGCCTTCATTCATAATGGAAGGCAATGCTAAATTATGGCCGAAGGTTATTGCAGATAAAGATGAACTCTCCCCCTTCCAAGTTCAGGATCCTCTGAATTCTACCCACATGGAGAACACTCTGCTAGTTGGCCTTCCCCCTTCAGAGCATACCTCTCTGTCCCAGTGAAGAGGAGGCAGCCTGGGCCTCAGACCACTCCATGTCCCCACAGCCCCATGCTATGCCTCATCACGGCCCCAATGCGGTAATGATGAATTCCCAACAGATGGTGACCTCCATGGGGACAAAGGCTGCCTGGCTATCTTAGCCTCTCTCCGGCTTGGGGCCAGGCTTGGCCCAGGGCAGACAATAAACCCACATCTGTGCAAGGGACTGGCAGCCAAGTGGCCTGAAGCCAAAGGCTGCTGATTCACACCTTGGCTGGGGAGGAGGAAATGGTGACGCCACTGTGTGGGTTTCTAGCTTTCTTTGCCAATGCGGTGGGCAGGGGGTCCATGCAATTCTACTTAATGAAGCAGACTAGAAAATATTATCCTTATGTGTTTTAAGGCAATGTTTCTCTTCCTGTCTGCAGAGAGAGACTATACTCTCATTTACAGTCAACGACACACATGCAGCCGAGTGCAATCCTGGGTAAATTTTATTCCACCTTTCCAAGCCTCAGTTTCCACACTTGTGAAATGGACTCATAACAGTACCCACATAGCAGACATCAGTGGTTTCCACCAGCTCCTTCTTCAGCAACAGTAGCCTGAATCTCTTACAATGACTGTCTCTCTCACTACTTGCAATTTAGGGGGAATATCTATCCTAGTATCCGGCCCTTGCCTGGCCAAAGGATGGCCAGGTGATCTTGGGTTTGGCCCATCAGATTCTCTCTTCCTGCAGCTGGACTCCCACAGTCCCATCTAATATTTCCCTCCCGTCCCTCCCACCTCAACTTCATCTTCACTGCACACAGCCCTCCTGTGGACAGGTGCTTTCTTTTTCTAGCCTCCCACTTTTTATCTGTGCTCTGCCCCATCCATTCTCCTGTGAAAGGCCTTTCTAACCACCCAGGCAGCAGGAGGGGCCCTGAGTACCAGCTCCCTGACTACTCCAGTGACTTCCTTTTGGACACCTCTGGTCCCGACCTCTGGCCCCCAGCTGTGTCTACTGGGGCCTTGATTTTCTTGAGGGTGAGGTCCATACTTTGTATTCTTCTGTGGATGTTGGCCCACTCAGGAGCCCCCAGGTCCATCTGGGCTGCACCTGTCACGTGAGTTTCATCTCTATCACTCAAATCTCTCCTGCTTTCTTCAAACGCACCTCATGCTGGGTTTCCATTTCTTTGCTTTCCTACGCTCTGTTTGAAATTCCTCTTCCTTTCTCTACTCGTGGAATCCCTCCCCGGCTTTGTGATCGGCCTTGGGTCACCTCTGCCATGCTGCCTTGTCCAAGTCCAGCTTCCCCAGAACCCAAGTGCACAGGCCTCTGCATATTCCCCAAGTTCCAGACGGGCTCCGAAACACCCCGTCTACCTGTGTCTCTCGAGACACTGAAACTCCTTGAAGTCTGAATTCCTGGTTTATCTGTATGTCATCCCTGCCCTTCAAAGTGCCTGGCTCCTGAAGGATTTATATTTGCTCAGTGAATTCTCAAGAAACATGGTCACTACCACAAAGTGCAAAGGTCTCTTGGTTATTGTTTCTTTTTGCAAGAGGCGGTTTTGGTGGAATTGCTGAAGTACAGGATGCCTGGTAAAACTTGAATTTCAAATAAAAAAGGATTCCTTTGGTAGTATAAGTAGGTCCAAGTATCACAGGTTTATCTAAAATTCAAATTTAACAGGACATCCTGCTAAGTTTGGAAAATCTGGCAACCCTAGGGATGCCTGAGGAAGGCCTGGGATGGCTGCAGAGCAGTCAGCAGAGCTCTGTCCACCTGCACACAACAAACACACTGTCAGTCCCTTCTCCCTTCCCCACCTGAAGAGGGCCCTGTGCTTGGGCTCACTGCCCACCCGCAGGCTTGCATCCGAGCCAGCAAGGATGGAGGCAACACGCTGCAGTCTGGAGTAGGGGGCAGAGGGCCGATGGGCATGTGACAAAGTTTGGACGTGTGAGCTCCTGGGAGAGTCCCAGAGCCACCCTAACCCCTGCCCACAGGCCCACTGCAAGCCACGGTACTCCTGAGTCAGTTACGGCCAGTTCCCACGGCACGGCACGGGCCGCACTGCCAGCTCCAGCCAGGGTCTGGCTAACCCTGCTGACAAGCGCTCCGGGGAAGGAGCCACGGGGCCCCAGTTTCTGGGCATTACCCCAGGCCAGGAAGCTCCAAGGACAAGTGTCCCAGCAGTACTGTCCTCAGGCATTCTGCACAAAAGCTCATTTAATTTGCAGAGTCACCCACTTCCCAGAGGAGAAGGCTCGAGGCCAACAGTGAGTGAATGGCAGAATCAGACTAGAACTCAGTCGCCAAGCGCAGAAGCCACACTCACAACCCTCCCTCCGGCCATGTGGCCTCAAGAAGCCTCATTTTCTCTCCAGCTAGGGATGGGTGCCCACGACTCGCTGCTTGTATCCGCCAGGCTGACAGGACCCTCAGCCAACAGCCCCTTTGTAGCAGCTGCAGTGGCCCACGGCTGGCCTTCCTCCCCAGGGGGAAGGACAAAAACTGAGTCACGCAAAGCAAGACTATTCCCCCTGGCACAGCCCTCTGGCCCAGGAAAAAAGCACTCACTATCTGCAATCAGGATATGAGTGTCCTAGCCGTTCAGGTGTACAACGAATGGCGGGGTCCCCTAGTACTTCTCTGGCAGTGTGATAAGTTGCTGTACTTCACGCTGACCCCCGTGCACCCTGGGGTGGGCCAAAAGTGAACGTGTGAACACCCAGGGAGTGGGGCGCAGGCCATCCCTCCGAGCTGGGTGAACTTTCTCATGCCCCGTGACCTCGGTGCACACCACAGAACTCGGGCCCCCAATTCTTTCCGACCCTCCTCGGCCGCAGGCAGGAGGAGGACCTGGCCCCGCTGAGCAAGCAACATTTTAACTAGAAAAGCATCTGCGCAGCCCTTCCCTCGAGGTATTTTAAACTCCTTTCTTTCCTTTTCTTGGGCTCACGCACTGGAAAGCCACATCCAGGGACCTCCCTCGGCAGCGACAGCCGGGAGGGTTGGAAGAGTGTCCGAGGCCAGCGCTTACCTCCGGAGAACCCCGCTGCTTCAGGATGGGATGGGGGCAGGATGTGGGGACCCGGCTGAAGCCACCCACACTTTGGCACTGCTTCTTTTTTAAAAAGAGCATTTGCTGGGTTTTTTTTTTTCTTATTTTCACTAAAAACAGGAATATGGGTTCACAGCAGAACATTTGGAAGGCAGAGAAGCACAGACGAGCAAAAAAAAAAAAAAAAGTGACATGTTTTATCAGCTATATTTCTGTGCTTATACAGACACATATTTTCATCCTTCATTCGTAATCAGCCTGAGCACATTGTTTTGCAACCAGCTTTTACTATTTAATATTCCCAGGACAGAAGACAGAATATATTTTCACCATCTTGACGGTGTCCTAGCGTGTGGATACAGTACACTGTATTTCTCTTGTTCTCCACTGATGGGCATTTAAGTGGTTACCAACTTCTTACTATCATCAATACTACATCTGTATGTTCCTAATAAAGCTCATATTTATGAGACGCTAGACCTGTTTAACCTCACATTGGTCCTATGAAATTGGAACTGTTATTATTCCCATTCTACAGAGCTTCAGAGAGGATAAGTCCTTTGAAGTCACACCGCCGGTAGGTGACAGCGCAGGGATTTGAACCCAGCCCGTCGGGGGTACTTTCTCTGCTCACCAGAAGCATGGAATGTCACAAAGTCTGAACTAAAGTGACATGGAAGTAATCTGAAGGCATGAGAGTCCCCCCGCCTCCCGCCCCGATCTTGAAACAGCTGTAGGAGCCCAGAGTGTAATCAGCGGCTGATAGCTCCTGTCTAGGGTGACCTATCTGGCTTCTTGCATCCGTGGGGACAGACCAATCAGGATGGCACAACGCAACGGATAATAAGGTCCACTGTTTTTCAATCAGAAGAAAGCAAAAGCCATCCAAAAAAAAAAAAAGCCTACCAAGGGGCGCCTGGGTGGTTCATTCTGTGAAGCATGGACTCCGGTTTGTACTCAGGTCATGATTTTGCAGTTCGTGAGTTTGAGCCCTGCGTTGGGCTCTGTGTTTGGCGGTGTGGAGCCTGCTTGGGATTCTCTTTCTCTCTCCTCCCCTGCTCCTGCTTTCTCTCTCTCTCTCTCAAAATAAATAAATTTAAAAACAACAACAACAAAAAGCCTACCTGAGGGGCCTTAATGCCTACTTCATGCACTGCTTCTTTGTGACACAGGGCACAGGACAAGAACCCACCCAGAGTAGATAGGAAGGCTCAGCCTTGCTGAGGGCCTATGCCAGGGGCTCTAGGGCGTCCAGCCTGGGGCTGGCTATTATTACTGTCCGTATTATTTTTCACGACCACTATGATTGATTAAGTGCCTTTTATACATGATGCATCAGGCTAAATATTACGTGACACGAGTCAGTCTTCATAATGGCCCACACTTTAGGGAAATACTATTACAACTCCTGCCTCCATTTTACATAACCTCAGGGAGCTGATCTAACTCAGAAGTGCTTGAGGAGGACTCAAAGCTAGGTCATTTCGGGGCGCCTGGGTGGCTCAGTTGGTTAAGTGTCTGACTCTGGCTCAGGCCATCTTGTGGTTGGTGAGTTTGAGCCCCACACCGGGCTGTCTGCTGTCAGCACAGAGCCTGCTTCAATCCTATTTCTCTGCCCCTGCCCCCCGCAAATATAAACAAACACTTAAAACAAAAATCTTGGTCTTTTTGTAATGAAAGAAATGTGCCAGTCGCTGGCAGTTATTTCTCGGGCAGAAGGCATGGAGTATAGACAGAGTCCATACATTATCAAAAGAGCACACAACAGACTTAGGAGGAAGACACTGTATTCATTTTATAGATGCAGAAACTAAGGCTGGGGGCAGAGTCAGCCAAGGCCACGTTATCTCTAACACCCAATTCTTTCCACTCAAGTTTGATGCCCTGCCCAGCGTGTTTCTGCAAAAGAGGGGGTGCCAGGTAACTGGTAGCTAGAATCCGAATGCAGCTAATGCAGATTCCCAGTGTGTTCCAGACCATGAAGCTCGCCAGCCAGAGGCTCCTACAGGCTGAGCTGAGGTTGCCAGTAATACCTAAGGCAGGCGTGATCTACCTGAACTCAGCAGCTCGAATTGTGACCCCGGGGCTCTAGGAACCTGATGAATAAAGAAGGGAGGTTCCAAGAGTGGTAGCACAAGGTCTGCTACCCCATCACTCCACAGGCACAGTCACCCAGAACTTCGTGGGGCGAGAATGATTAGGGCTGGAGCTGCCTGCGCTGCATCAATCCAGGCTGAGGGAGCAGTGAGATGGGGGAGGAAACTGGGGTCCAGAAGCCAGGTGACACACCCGCGGTCACTTGGCTCAGGGGAGAGATCACATGGCTGCCACCTCTCCTAGACCACGTGCACATCTGGCTCCATCCCCATGCTGTGTGACCTTAGTTAGGTGCATGCCATCCCTTCCAGTCTTAAGGGGAGAATGGGAACCCCTAACGTAACCACCTGAAGGGTTAGGATCTTGACTGTATGAATAAATCGTACCAATGAACAGATGACAAGTAACTCAATACACTGAGGAAGGAGCAAAAGATAAAACAGACAGTTCATGGAAGAGGACGCTCAAATGGCCGACAAGGGTGTGCAAAGATGCTCAACGTTACCAGCAAGCAGGGAACACGCAAGCACACGCCACCATGGGGTACACACACCCGGCAGCACGGCAAAAACTAAAAAGTCTGACAGTCTGGGGTGTTAGCAAGGACCCACAGCAAAGGATGCACAGACACTCTTCTGGGTGGATCTAAATGTAAAGGCGAGAGTGCACCAACCCCCAGACCCAGCAACCCCACCTAGGGTACATGTGCAGGAAGCAGCCACACAGACCTGACCTGCTGGGGACACCCGAAAGTCCCCAATAGGAGCTAGAATAACTAGCGGTATATCCAAATGCAATATTAAAACAATTTTTTTTATCATGTTTATTTATTTCTGAGACAGAGCACAAGCGGGGAAGGGGCAGAGAGAGAGAGACACACACACAGAGAATCTGAAGCAGGCTCTAGGCTCTGAGCTGTCAGCACAGAGCCCAACACGGGTCGAATTCACAAACCATGAGATCATGACCTGAGTCAGACGCTTAACTGACTGGGCCACCAGGCACCCCTCAAATGGAGTATTAAACAGCAGTTAAAATGAAACTGGGGCCATGTGCATCAGCATAGATCTTGAAAAGGCGATGTTTTCATGTAGTTTTAAAACATCCAATGCAAGATTTGGGGCAGTTAAAAAGGTAAAAAAACGGTTAAAAGGGGCTGGGGAGGGAAGGAGACTGACTGCAGACCAGTCGAGGGTCTCTTTGGGATTGATGCAAATATTACAAAACTGGACTGTAATGGTGGGTCTCACAGCTCTGTAAATTTACTAAAATAATCAGCAAACATACACTTAAAATGAGTGAATTTTATGGTATGTAAATTACACCTCAATAAAACTGTTGGAGGAGAAAAATCCTTTCTAACAGACTGAATATTCTATTTTTTTTTGAAGTGCATGGGAATGACAAACCACACAGCAAATGCAGGACGCTGGTTCCTGTGGGTGGGGGAGGGGGCTGGAGGGAGCTGAGGGTACACAAGAGGCTTGGGGTCTGCCATGTCTTCTTTCTCAAAAAACAAACCTAATGATCTGAAACACGGCAAAATAGGAAGATCTGACATAGCCGGATGGTCGATGGATATTTTACGTATTCGTATATTCGAAACAGTGGATTCATACGAGAAAGCACCTATTTTATTATTATTATTTTTTAAATAGGCTCCATGCCCAGCGTGAGGCTTGAACTCATGACCCTGAGATCAAGAGTCGGATGCTCCACCAACTGAGACACCCAGGCGCCCCCAAAAGTACCTATTTGAAAGGACTGTTATGATGACTAATTATAGAGAGAGCATAATCCAGTGCCTGACCCACAGCAGCTGATCAAATTTCAGCTGTTAGGGTCACTGCTGCCATAACCACTACTACCATCTTGCTCCTCTTAACATCAAAGGTCTCAAGAAAAAGCAAGCCAGGGTCTCCTGCTTCCTGCAGACAGAGACTCTCCTCTAAACCCAAGGCTCCTATACATCCCACTCCAGTGCCGGAAACGGGGCAATCCGAATAAAACCTGCAAAACGTCCGGGGCGCGCTGGCTCCTCCCCTCAAGCTAGAAGACAACCCAGCTGGGAAGCGTCTCCCCTGGGTATCACGCTTGAAAACCCCCTTTCCATTCATTCAGAAATCCAGCACAGAAATGGATCAGCTCCCTAAACCTTCATCTCCCCCTGCCTCTGACAGTGGGTGGTGGCTCCAGGGGGCACTTGCCAAATAATACTACCATTATTATCAGTCTTTTCATCAACAAAAATCTCTCTCCAACAGTTAGGCTCTCAGAGGCCCTGAGGCTTCTGCCCTGTGTTCTCCAGACCTGACCTGTGGCTCTGCCCCTGGGCCCACCGGCGATGTCTGCCTGGCCCGCAAGCAACGAAGGCTGAGGCTGGGCAGGGACAGGGTGCCACCCTGATCACGAAGGTGCCTTGTCAGGTGCGACAGGTGGCCCAGTCCCGAGCTCCGATGCAGTTTCCCTATGACATCTACAGTCTCTGTGACTTGTTCCTTCCACAGCAACTGACAGGATGTACAGGTGGTGACGAAGGTGGCTGCAAATGGGGAGGAGGGGGTGGAAAAGTAGGGGGCATGGCTAACGGAACTCTCCATAACTGATACTTCTGGGAGGGGGATGCTACTGGCACCTAGTGGGTAGAAGTCAGAGATGCTGGTAAACATTCTACAATGCTCAGGACAGCCCTCGGCTACAAAGAATGATCTGGCTCAAAAAATGGTGTTGAGGTGAGAAATTCTGTCCTAGAGGGAAGAGCAGTATATACAACCTGCAGATTACAGAAGCTGGAGCTCAGAGAGAGAGACTGAGCAGCCCAAGGTCACACAGCAGAGCTGAGGACCGTCCAACCTCACTTCTCATGCCTTCTCTCCAGGGTGGCCAGGCCAGGTTCTGAGAGGAGGGTACCGAATGGGATGAGAGTCTAGGCCCACGCCAGTAGGTGTCCCCGTGCTCATTTCTTTCAGAGTGGTGGGGTAGGAGGCTCTGGCAGTTTCTGGTGGGTTCAGGTCCCCTGCCACCATGGCCTTAAATCTGCCTTGTTCTTGTAGGTGACTCAGGCTCCAGTTCAACCCATCACCCCTCTGATGAACCCAAAAGGCTGGGTCCAAGGGAGGGGGCCCCCTTGAGTCACAAGTGACTAAATCCACATGCAGAAAAACAAGTTTTTGGTGAAATCCTCCACATGTGACTTCGGCACATTCCCAAGCAGGGTGACATGGACGCCACGGAGCAGGGAGGCAGCCTTCTGAAGGCTATGGCAGCCAGCCCTGGTATCACGTGGCCCCTCCCCCTAGGAAGTGGGCACCCCCCCACCCCCGGTACAGACGAGCAAACTGAGGCTCAGAGAAGCCACACAGCTATCAAGCTGAGGCCACGATCTAAACCCGAATCCATATTGTAACTTGTCTCAAAGGACCCTTCAAAAGGGATGGAAAGCTAAGCAAGATGCTCCTTAAAGCTGCCGAACCTTCAAAAAGCTGGCGGGTGAGGATCTGACTAAGCAGGGAATGAAAAGCCGCAGGATGATCACAAATGATGGCAGACTTCCTGGTTCTTAAGGGGCCTTTGCTTAAGGAAACTCAGAAGGTATGGGCTGTAGGAAGCAGTGTAGTGGTCCGGCGGAACACCACTTTTTGGTGTCCAACGGACCTGGACTGACATCCTTGCTCTGCCTGTGACCGTGACCTCGGGGCAGAGGACCTCACCTTTCTGAGCCTTTGTTTCCTCATCTGTCAAATGGGCTCAAGAACCTCTGCCTCCGTATGTGTGCGCTGGGAGCAGACAGGAGAGAGTGGAGGATGATGCCCACTTTGTGGTGGCTGTATCTATTCTGGTTCTGCCAGCTCACAGATTGGGTGGAGGCAGCATGGAGAATTTTAGACTTCCTCTTGTTGCCATGTTGGTGAAAACGGTCCTCATACCCAAAAGGCAACTCAGTTACACACTCAACAAGCTCAAACAAGAAACCACGATCTGGCAGCATTTGAAACAGCTCACACACACACACACACACACACACACACACACACAAAAGGAAGAGGAAAAAAAAAAGACAATTTAGCTCAGCTCTGGAATCAAGGGAAACTTCACTCTATTTAAAGATGCCACAGGTCCAGGAAATAGCTTCCCACAGCCTGGCTAAGGGCTATTGGCTGCCCAGCCAATAACAATACGGACTCACACAGCACACCCTTTCTCGTGGAGAGTGCAGAGTGAATTCCGGCTATCTCCTTTCAGAATTTTATAAGCTATTCACCGACGGCATGTAGATCTGCTCTATAAGAAGGAGCCTCTTAGGAAAATAGATCCCCAGACAACTTGCAAGGAGGCCGAGGAGCTGAATTTAGCCAGCCAACGCCCTTTGCTATTCATTGTTCTACACTTCTTTGTTAGGATTTTTTCCCTCCCTCTTGCTTTTTTCCTTCCTGGTTAACTTCTCTGCAGCTAGGCGCTGCCACTGCCCCCTTCTCACCACCAGAGACACCAGAGCCCCCTTCCCTCCAATAAAGGAGGCCTCCCCAAGGCCTCACCTGGGCCCAACATCCCTCAGACCCATTATCACTCCGCCCAAAACCTCTGAGGTGATCCCATGGCCCCTTGAACCCAGATTCAGCTCCTAGATTGCTGCAGAATCCGTTTCCCATGTGGGGGTCACCGCGTGCCCTGGCACACCTTCCGGAAGCAGGGAAGGCCTGAATGCAGCTCCGTGTTCCAGAACCTGCAGTTTCTCGGAGCCTCAGCCTTCCCATCTGCAAAAGGAGGTTACTGGCCCATTTTCTCAAGTCCTCACCAGCTCTAAACAAGATTCTCATTTTACAGACGGAGGTACCAGGAGAAAACTTTCGCACATTTTTAAACAGAACTCATTGGAGAAGGAGGGCAGGGACTTTTTTCTTTTAAACCTTTTCACGGTGCAGGCACTCAAAGGATCCATTATCAGGGATCGCTCAGGCTGGCTGGCTGCTCCAAACGGCTGGAGTCAAACTTGGCGATCCCTTGAGGGGCTACCTGTGGCTAGGCACTGCGGGTCTGAGTGCCTCTGGACAAGGAGGGACAGGGCAGGCGGCCTGAGCACAGGAGCTTCTATCTCTTGTCTGTCTGTCTGACTCTCTCCCCCTCCCCCTCTTTCTGTCTCTCTGTCCCCTACACTGGCTCGGGCCAGACTTTTCCACAGATGGGCAGGACGGAGTGGGGGGCCAAGGAGGAGACAGAAAGGGGGAGAGGAGCTGCGGAGGGGCGAGGCGGGAGGACGGGAAGGAGGGGAGGAGAGCCGGGCGAAAGAGAGGAGGGGGAGGGGGAGGGGGAGGAGCTGGAGAGACCCGGGCTCGCAGCAGCAGGGCCGAGGAGGGGAAAGAAGGGGAGGGTGGGGAGAGAGCTGACGGTTCGGAAGTTTTCGGAGCCGGGGGGGTCTCGGTCGCCCCTGGCGGGGCACGAGCTCGAGGGGGCGTGGGGGCCGCGCGGCACTCACATAATGCTTGTTGGGCACCCGCCGCTTCTGCACGTCCAGCACCTTCACCTCCACGATGCTGCGCCGCGGCGGCATGGCCGTCCTCCGCGGGGCCGAGCGCGGGTGCGGGGGGCGCGGGTGCGGGGGGCGCGCCGCCGCTGGCTGGGAGCGGGGTGCCGAGCGCTATCCGGAGCCCCGGCCGAGCACGAGCCACTGCCGCCGCCGCCGCCCTTCGCTCCGCGCGCCCTCGGGCCCGGCCGGCCGCCGCCGCTGCCCGCCCCCGGCCCGCCCCCGGCCCGCCCCCCGCGCCGCCGCCCCGCCCCCCTTAAAGGGGCCGGCCCCGCTCCCGCCCCCCGCGCGCGGACCCGGCTGGCCCACGTCCGGCCTCCGCCGCGCCTTTGTCCCGGCGCCCTGCCCCGGCGGCCGGGGGAGGGGGCGGGCGCGCATCCGCCGTCCAGTCGCTGATCGGCTGGTCGGTTCCTTCCCGCACGCGCTCGCTCAGGAGCCGCGGTCCAGAGCCGGATCCGAGGGCCTGGCTCCCGGGTTCAAATTCCGATTGTTGCCGCTGTCTGTTCTGCGGCCTTGGGAGAGTTGCTTCACCTCTGAGGATTCAGTTCCTTCATCTGTAGAATGGGGCTGGTACACTGCCTACCAACCAGGGCTGTCCTCGCCGTGTGACGATGCAAGTGAAGCTGTCGGCAGTGTCTGGCCAGGGTATTTTAAAACCCAGACCCGAGCCTTGGACATTCAGGGAGTAAAATCACAACAAGTACAGGTAGAATACACTTCCAACAATGGTGGCAGAACAGCGAGTAATAGGGTGGTGAACGCGTGAGGGGCAGATGGGTGCTTGGTAACAGACGCCATTGGTTCCCAAATATGGAGCACTTCTTCCACGCCAGGTGCAGAACCTTCTTTCCGCTTTTCCGAAATGTCCCCTTTGAATCCTCGAGACAGCTCTGGAAGGAAAAGGTGGTTGACCCATATTACAGAGGAGGTGACTAAGAGCAGCCTTCCAGACTCACTGCACTGGTGGAAGGAACCCATCATACTCTGGCTCTAGACATATTTCATAAGCTAAGGGTGGTGGTGGTTTGGGGGGGGGGTGGCTGGGGCTGTTCCACATTTCTTCATCCAGTACCTCCTAGCCCTGGCTTGGCTCAGAGTCATTTTCAGATGTTGGCTGAACAAACGTTTGAATGAATGTACACATCAATGCATGGATGGGATCCTGGCCAATGCTGTCACGCTAGTAAGCAGGGGCTCTTTCCAACAAACTGCAGAGCTCCCCTCCGGGCCTGAAAGAGCCCAAGGCTCCTTCCCACCCTAGATCCAAGGTCAGCTTTTGAAAGACGGTGGGGGTCATCCTGGGGAGGATGCTTCTCAGCAGCCCTGGCCAGGTTCCTGGATAGTTTGGTGCTGATTCATTTTGGACCCATTGCTCCATTTGCCCCTCTAACTTCCTTGCCAGGGTTTGCCACCCTGACCTGGCCCCAGAGGATGGTCTGTAAGGATTTCAGGGACAGGCTTCCTGTCCTCAGTTTCCTCTTGGGCTTGGCCAATGGGGAGCCCTGGCAGAAGCTGGAGGGCAGAAGAAGAGAGAGGTCTAGGCATTAATTTCCCGAGTGATCTTTTTTCCTGCAGGGTTGTGCCTCCAAAGGTGGCCTTCCACATACCTTTTCCCTCAGGGTTCCTGGGACCTGTTTTTCCACTAAGCGTGTTAACAGTCTTACTGCTTCAAGCCTTGGGTACTGCACCTTCCCCTTCTGGTTCCCCAAGCCCTGCTAAGCCCTGCCACACCTTTGCAAGGGGACCTTTTAGTAAACGTCCCCTGGTGACCTTGTTTGAGGGTAGCATCTGTTTCATGCCAGGACTGATATAGTTTCTGTAAGACACATTCTTCTGAAGCATATCGCGAGTCGGATTACTTGGAAATGTCCAGTATGTTGAAGGTCTGGCTATTCTGTTCCTTTCTCATCCTCTGAATGAGCCAGGCCTTCCTAATAAGGCAGAACCACAGAAGGCAGACACTAGAGGAAATCTGTGAATCAGCCAGCTTCCTCGGTTTTCCCCAAAAGGCAACGCGACCTGGCCCTAGTTACACCCCGAGTGGCAAAGTTGGGTCCTCAGCCTGCCTGTGCTCACCTCTTCTGCGGTGGCAGGAAAGGCCTGAGAAGACGAACTTTCCTGCCACCTGTCTGTAGCAGAAAATGCAATATCTGCATCTTTCCGTGCCCTTCCTTTGTCTTCCTTTTTCTTCTTCTTTACTGTAGTGAAATATACATGACATAGACTTTACCATTTTAACCCTTTGTAAGTGTAACGTTCTGTGGCATTAAGTACATTCACATCATTGTGCAACTGTCACCAAAAACCGTCTCTAGGACTTTTTTGACCTTCACAAATTGAAACTCTGTACCCTTTAAGCAATATCTCTCCATTCCTCCTTGCCCAGCCCCTGGCAACTACCATTTACCAAGTGTGTGAGCTTCGGCAAGGCACACCACCTCTCTGTACTCTATCTCCTGATCTGTGAGATATAATAAGAATAGCCACTGACCTCATTGGCTTGTTCTGAAGTCTAAATGAGATAATGCATATAAAGTATATGTATTTTTGTTATTTTGCTATTAGCTGATCTGATACAGCCAAACATCGCCCTTTAAGTGCATCCAAATCTCAAACCTAATTTTATTTTTTTTCCTGCTGTTTAAAACACATTTTATTTTATTTATTTATTTTATTTTTTTTACAAATAGTTTATTGTCAAATTAGTTTCCACATAACACCCAGTGCTCATCCCCACAAGTGTCCTCCTCCGTGCCCATCCACCCCCCCATCCATCAGTCCTCAGTTTTTGTCAGCATTCAAGAGTCTCTCATGGTTTGCCTCTCTCCCTTTCCCCCACCATTTCCCCCCTTCTTCTCCCCCTTGGTCCTCCGTCGAGTTCCTCCTAATCCTCCTATATGTGCGAACATATGGTATTTGTCCTTCTCTGCCTGACATATTTCGCTCAGCATAACACCCTCAAGGTCCAACCATGTTGCTACACATGGCCAGATTACATTATTTCTCATTGCCATGTAGAATTCCATGGTATAGATAAACCACATCTTCTTGATCCATTCATCTGTTGATGGACACTTAGGCTCTTTCCATGTTTTAGCTATTGTGGAGAGTGCTGCTAAGAACATTGGGGTACATGTGCTCCTATGCCTCAGCATTTCTGTATCCCTTGGGTAAATTCCTAGCAGTGCTATTGCTGGGTTCTAGGGGAGTTCTAGTGTTAGTTTCCTGAGGAACCTCCACACTGTTTTCCAGAGGGGCTGTACCAGTTTCCATTCCCACCAACAGTGTAGGAGGGTGCCCGTTTCTCCACATCCTCGCCAGCATCTAGAGTTCTCTGATTTGCTCATTTTAGCCACTCTGACTGGTGTGAGGTGGTATCTCAGTGTGGTTTTGATTTGTATTTCCCTGCTGAGGAGGGATGCTGAGCATCGTTTCATGTGTCTGTTGGCCATCTGGATGTCCTCTTTGGAGAAGTGTCTGTTCATATCTTCTGCCCATTTCTTCACTGGGTTGTTTGTTTTTCGGGCGTGTAGTTTGGTGAGTTCCTTATAGATTCTGGATATTAACCCTTTATCTGATATGTCATTTGCAACTATCTTTTCCCATTCCGTTGGTTGCCTATTAGTCAAACCTAATTTTAATCCCAACTGCCATGAACTACGTCTACTCTTTCCTAGTCTTGACTCTCTTTTTAGCCCCTGATTTTGTGTCCAGCCTCATCTCCCACCACCTGCCTCCATGTTCCCCAAAATAGAAATGACTTGTGATCTCCAGAAGGAAATAATATTTTTGCTGTTTCCTACCTGCATACCTAAGCATAAGCGATTCATTTCCCCACCTTGTCTGCCAGTGACTTCTTATTCAGCCTCTAATGCCCAGGTTGGATGTCACTTCCTCCAGGAAGCCCTGCATCCCTGATATGTAATTGTTTCCCCAGCCCCCCCATCACCCCCCCCCCCACCAGCTATCACTGTCCGTTGTCATAGTCATTATTTCCTTCTTATAGATCTGATTCCTTTGCCAGACTCTGAGCCCCCAAGGAGCTGGAATGGGTCTCATTTGTCTCAGGTCCCCCAGAGTCTGGCACAAACCAGCATAGAGAGGCCCTCGAGGAAATGCTTGTGGGATGAATGAATCTATCTCCATATACTTAACTCTAACCTAAGTCCTCTCCAGGGTTGGGCTGGCTTTCGTCCTTACCTGTTCCTCAGAGACCTCTTCACACCAAGCTTCACTGTGTCCACACTCCTGGGAACGCTGGCATTTTCCCTGATTGGGGTGTGAAGAGAACAGGGCAGAGAAAAAGGTAAATTTGCTGCCTTAGCTGACTTCATTCTTCTATATTTCTTTTCTAGATGTGCATTTTGCAAACCCGAGAGCTGCCTACCACAGAAAATCAATGCTGAAGCCAACGGACCACGGAATTCCATATGGCAGGTTTATTTGGGAGGAGGGCTACACATTCAAGGGGCATTGAGTCCATCAGGCTGAGTGAGGTTCTGGTCTTTTTTTGATTTTTGATGTCTGCCTGACTGCCAGGCTTTACTTCTCCCAAATCCCAAGTCCCCAAGACAGACGGCCAGGCCCAGGGAACTGAGGCTCCACTCCTTTCCTTCCTCTCTCCATCAGCTGTCTGAGATGGAATCAGACCTCTTTCCAGAACAGAGGCAGGGGACTTGAAAAGAGACTCTTTCGCTCCAAGACTGCCACAGCAAGATGCTCATAATGAACACAGCCGGACCTGCAAACATTCAGTGGCCAGGCACACGTGATCCGCAGAATAGCTTATGAGCTGTAAGGAAGTGGGCTTTAAAGCAAATTTCCAGGGGCCCAGGCTGCAGGGCAGAGCCTTGGGGGGTGGGGAGGAACTTGAGTGAAGTTACATTTCAGGGGCTGGAAGGAGAGCACAGCTTCCTTCCATCTTCTTCCTTTTCCCAGCTGCCATAATTATCTTCCTCCTAAAGAGAAGCAATGCCCCACCCCACCCCTGCCCCCAACCCCCACTGCTCAAGGTGTTTGGTGTGCTGTAGACTGGCATTCAAGGCCTCCATGACCTGGACCCTTCAGTACTGCTTTCATCTCTATCTCCT